GCTGAGCGCCGAAGAATTGATGCTTTTGAACTGTGGTGTTGGAGAAGACTCTTGAGAGTCCCTTGGACTGCAAGAAGATCCAACCAGTCCAACCTAAAGGAGATCAGTCCTGCCTATTCATTGGAAGGACTGATGTTGAAGCTGAAACTCCAATACTTTGGCCACCTCAAGTGAAGAGTTGACTCATTGGAAAAGACCCTAAAGCTGGGAAGGTTTGGGGGCAGGAGGAGAAGGGGATGACAGAGAATGAGATGGCTGGATGGCGTCACGGACTCATTGGAACACGGGTTTGGGTGGACTGCGAGAGTTGATGATGGACAGGGAGGCCTGGCGTGCTGCGGTTCATGGGGTCTGAAGGAGTCGGACACGACTGAGTAACTGAACTGAACAGAACTGAATGAATACCAAGCCCTGATTCTCACTAGGGTTTATTTCCCTCTAGATTTTGAGCATGACTAAGCTTCCCAGTTACCACGATAGGTCCACAGAGGTGAGATGCTACATTTTGAGAACTATCATCCATCCCCATAATGTAATGATGTATGACAAAGTCTCTACCCATTGTCATGATGTCCAGGTATCAACTCCCAACTCTGAATTCTGCACAGTTTATCCCTGTACTATTTCTTCATGATGGCCACTAATCCTTACAGATTTAGAACTAAATTCTTGGGTAAAAGAGAAACACTACTATACTTGGATGTTGGCTGTAGCTTAAAATTGATAATGTCTGCCTCTTTTTTGGTGTGCATGTGTTCTCAGTCACTCAGGTGTGTCTGACTCTTTGTGACCTCAAGGACTGTAGCCCGTGAAGCACCTCTGTCCATGGAATTTTCCAGACAAAAATAGAGGACTGGGTTGCCATTTCCTTCTCCAGGGGATCTTCCCAACCCAGGCATTGAACCTTAGTCTCCTGCCTCTTCTGAATTGACAAGTGGATTCTTTACTACCGAGCCACCTGGGAAGCTCACCTCTTTTTGGAAATCATCTTAAATACCTGAGGACAAGGAAAAAATATCTGCCAATTTCGTTTTAGTATAAGTCTGGGTGAAGAGAGAGAGGGAATAAGAAAGAGGGAGGTGCACAAAGGATGAAGAAAATGAATGTTAAAACCTGCAAATTAGGTGCTTCTTGATAAAAAGCAATTGAGTATGATAGCACCAAATTTATTTTTGCAGCACGTTTCTACATATGATTTTGTTTAGGAATGAAATGTTTAAAAATAAATAACCAGCCCTCCAGATGATTCTGACGCACTTTAACTTTTGAGACTATTTGGCTTATTGCATAAAAATAATTTTTGTACTGTATTAAAGTTCCTAAGAGAGGTCCACATGGGAAGAAATGCAGGTAGCCCCTAAGAGCTAAACATGGACACCTCTGACAGATGGGAAGTCAAGGAGACCTCAGTCCTACTATCACAAGGAACTGAATTGTGGCAAAAATTAGAGGGCTAGAGGAGGACAGCAAACCTCAGATCAGAATACAGTCTAGGCTGGCAGAATGATTCAGCCTTGGAAGAACCTGAGCAGACATCTCCACTACACCATGCCAGATCACTGACCTGCAATAACTGGGAGATAGTACTTTTTTCAGGTTTTACATATGTTAGAATTTGTTCCACATCAAGATATTGAATGTAGCCCCTCTGAGGGGTGTCACCTGCACATCGTAGTAGGCCATGAGGACGGCAAAGCTGCTGAAGTGGGTGCATTGGCAGGTGGTGCTGTCGTCTCCGCTGTCCATCGTCCTGCAGCCTCTGGTTGCCCAGTGGCCACTTCCATTCTGGCCCTGCTCCCAGAAGACACAGTGCACCTTCCCCTTTGTTTCCGGGGTCCTTGACTGCAGAGACAGGAAGTAGGTTTGAGCTGGTGGTTCTGTTGCTTAGAAATGCTGATCCAAATCTAGATTATGATGGACTTTCCTTGGGATATGATGCACCCGTGAAGGACATCCCTGAAGCACAAAGGCTGTGCCCAGGACTCAGGTCTCTCCCACACCCACAGCTTCACCCCCCCCCCCCCACCCAGGACTCACATGTTTGAAGACAAATTTGACTGGAGAACTGAGGTTTTGTGTGTTACTGCTGCTGATAAAAACAGATATGACATCTGACAGCAGGATAGGGGGAGTTTCCTGCAGCAATTCCTTGTGTGTCTCATGTGGAACTGCCTGTTCCTCAGCATCCACTATCAGGGGGACTTTATCCAGCAACTTTTCAATCCCAGGCATGGAGACAAGGCCCACCACCATGGGACCTGCAGGACAAGGGCAAAGTTTATATCTTCGGGTATCCAACATGACTCCTCCTTTAATGAACTATGTCCCTGTGGCCTCACCATTACCCATAGTTTCCTTTAAAGTATACATTTCTGTTTATTGCACCTTTGAATATCACATCTCACTTTGAATCCCTAGGGACCTGTACCCTGCCATAACCATTACCTGAGTCATTAGATTCATGCACTGTATCCCAGGTCAGTATCATCTTTATGTTATTCTGAATCAAGGTGACATTCTTATCTTCTTTATCCAGTGCCTTCAGTGACATTTCTAAGAGTTGTGAGGGTTATAGAAGAGTTAGATTAGTACATGTGCCTATGATGGTGCACATACTACCATTATTTGCATACACAAAAATAAATATTTTAATATATTATGTGCTGTGTGCTGCCCTTATTTGGTCAATAGTGTCCAAATCTTGCAACCCGAGGGACGGTAGCCTGCCAAGCTCCTCTGTCCATGGGGATTCTCCAGGCAGAATACTGGAGTGGGATACCATGCCCTCCTCTAGGAGATCTTCCTAACCCAGGGATCAAGCCCAGGTATCCTGCATTGTAAACTTTGGATTAATATTGGATCCTTTACTGTTGATCCACCAGGAAAACTCAGTAATACTAGTATCAATAGTGTATCCCTTCTCCAAGGGGTCTTCCCAATGCAGGAATCAAATTGGGGTCTCCTGTATTGCAGGAAGATTCTTTACCAGCTGAGCTAGCAGGGAAGCCCCTTAATATATCATATAAATATGTAGACACTTTATAGATTACATAATGTATATTATATGGGCTTCTGTGGTAGATCAGGAAACAGTGATATATTTTTGTCATTGATTTACATGCTATCTAAATATGATGTCAAAATATCTAACATCATATGATTTATATGTATAATCATTTATGTGCAATCACATAAATGATTATATTTCATTTTATAAATGATATATAAATAATATTTACAATAATGTATATTATAAATAATGATATTATTATTATTATAAGCAATATCATTTGGTACACATAATAGTGGTAAATGCATATATCATTTACATTTACAAAGGATTGTAAGAGAATATATGAGCAATTATTCAACAACATGAAATGCAACCTAAATAAAATGGAGAAATTCCTAGAGACACAAAATACAAAAAATTGACTTAAGAAAATGGAAAATCATAGCAAAGCAATAACAGATAAGTATATTGAATCAGTACCCAAAACTTTCCAAAATGAAAAGACCAGAACAGATGGCTTCTACAGTCAATGTTCCCAGGCATTCTGGAAGAATTAACACTAAACCTTTGTAAACTTTTCTATAGAATAGAAGAGAAATAGCTCTACCTAAATAGTTCTATGAGACCATCATTATCCCAAGAACAAAACAAGATAATGCGTCACAGCAATCCCAATAAACCAATGTCAATTTGAACATAGAAACACAGTCAACAAAATACAAGGAAAAATGTTATCCAAGGAAACTGAAGACTTGTATATTGATCACTGTAAAAGACTGTTGAAAGAAATTAGAAACTCTAAATAAATCATAAGACATCCTGTGTTCATGGATCAGAACCATCCTATTAAGATCTCAGTAGTCCCCAAAATGATCTAGGGTTCAATGCAATCTGTATCAAAATTCTGACATCATTAAATTAATTTTCAGCAGAAATGGAAAGCTCATCTTAAAATCCATAATGGATTGCAAGTAACCTGGATAAACAAAGCAATCTTAAAGGTGAAAAACTAATTTGGAGGCATTACAATTTCTGATTTCAAAACTTACTGCCAACTTACAGTATTCAAAATGGTGGGAAATTGCTATATGAACACAGAGCAGTAGAACAGAACTGAGGACCCAGGAATAAATCCATACATCTATGGTCAGTTGATTTTCACAAAGGAGTGTCAAGACCATCAGTGGGCAAAGAAAAATCTCTTCAACAATGATGCTGAGACATCTGGCTTTCCACAAGCAAATGAAGGAATTCAGTGACCTACTTCACACAATAAATTTTAATAAAGAAATGGGTCAAAGACCCGTTGGGGTTAAAATGGGTCAAAGATATATGTTTAAAAGTTAAAACTAGGACAAGTAGGACAAAAACACCTGAGTAACTCTTCATGACCTTGAATTTGGAAATGGATTATTAGCTGTGAAAAAATATGCAGAAGCAACAAAAGTGTCAATAGATTATATGGACTTCATCAAAATGGAAATATCTATTCATTAAAGTGAAAAGACCACAGAAAAGTGAAAAGGTAATCTACAGAATGGGAGAATATATTTGCAAAGACATATCTCATAGGATCTAAATTAAGATCTATGAAGATCTCTTATAGCTTAACAACCAAAATGTAAAAAATTGAAATTGCAAAGAAAAAAACACTCAAGTATATGTCTCTCCAATAAAATATAGACAAATTCAACAATGACATGAACAGATGTTCAACATCTTAGTCACTAGAGGAATACAGATAGAACCATGATGAGATATCACCGGACACACACTAGAATGGCTACAAGAAAAAGAAAGCAAAATGGAAGTAACGTGTTGCTGAGGATGAGGAAATTGGAACCCTCACACATTGCTGTTGATAATGTAAAATGAAGAAATAGCCACTTTGGAAAACTAGTTTGGTGGTTCCTTAAAAAGCTGAAAATAGAACTACCACATCACCAAGCAATTTTGCACTCTATTATGTGCCCAAAAAACTTTATTCAACAGTTATTCAAACCAAAACTTATGCTACAGGGACTTCTCTGGTGGTACAGTGCTTCCAAGACTCTGTGCTTCCAATGCAAGAGACACAGTTTTGGTCTCTGGTCAAGGAGTTAAGATCCTACTTCCCATATGCTGTGAGATGCGGGCAAAAAAGAAACACCACCTTCATAGTAGCATTGTTCACAAGAGTGAAAATGTGGCAGCCAGCCAAATGTCCATCAATGGATGAATGGATTAACAAAAGGAGGTACATCCATGTACAATACATTTTTTCCATTTTTATTAGTTGGAGGCCAAGTACTTTACAATAATATGCAGTATACTAACACAAATATATGGAATTTACAATACATTATTATTCAGCCATAAAAGAATGAAATACTGATACATGCTACAACATGGATGAACCTTGGAAACATTATGCTAGGTGAAAGAAGCTAGACATTCAGGTCATATACCTTTAATTCTATTTATACAAAATTTCCAGCAGGGAAATTTCTCTGTGTTTCATAGAGACAGAAAACACAATCAGTGGTTGCCAGGGACCAGGGAAACAGAGGATTGAGGAGTGTTTGTTCAGTGGCTACAGGTTTTACTTTTGGAGAGGTGAAGTTATTTTATAAATAGAGGTGATGATCACAACCTTATGATGTACTAAATGCTACTAGAGTTTACACTTTGATTAAAATTGTGAACTTTAGTGTTGGTCAGTGGAGGAATGGTGTAAAAAGATGTGGTGATTAAGTAGGATAGAATACTAATCTACCACAGAAAAGAATGAAATTCTGCCATTTGCAACATTGTAAATGGACCTAGAGAGTATTATGTTTAGTGAAATAAGCCAGATAGAGAAAGACAAATACTGTATATCATTTCTATGTGAAATATAAAAATAATATAAACCAAGGTATGCAAAACAGAGACAGATTAACTGATATTGAAAAGAGGAGTTACCAAAAGGGAGATGGTAGGATGGAAGGGCAAGTTAGGGTTACGGGATTAATAAGTGCAAACTGCTATGTTTAAAATAGATAAGCAACAGGGATATATTGTTTAGGATAACGAATATAGCCATTGTCCTGTAAGAACTTGTAATGGAGTGTATTGTGTCAAAATACCAAATTACTATGCTATACTCCTGAAACTGCTATAAATTAAAATAAGTTTTAAAAAATAAATAAATAATTGTGCTAAGCAAAACAAATACTCAATTTAAACAGATCATATCTACATGACAAATAACATGAGGAAATCTTGTTATTCCAAATTAAAAATTTTCCCTTTGTAACCATTTCTATTTTGTCTTAAACTTTTCATTATCATTATTTTTATGCTCATAATTTATTTACAATGAAAGTGTGTATTATATATAATTTTATTCATTTATGTTTTTCTTATTGAGGTATAATTGACAGGTATAGTGACTCTATACTTGAATATATCACAAAACAATCACCACGAAAGCTAGCTAAAATTTGTCATCATACAGAGTTCCAAATTTTTCTGTGGTAAGTCCTTTTAAGATGTACTTTCATAGCAATTTAAAATACACAGTACAGTTCTATTAACTATAGTTACCATGTTGTACATTCCCATAACTTATTTTTAACTGGAAGCTTGTACCTTTTGACTTCTGTGCACGATTTTCTGTACTGCTATCCTGGTCTCTGGCAATCACCAATCTGTTCTCTATGTTGATGACCTTGGTGCTTGTGTTGTTTTTTGAAAGTGTTAGTGGCTCAGTCATGTCTGACTCTGCAACCCATGGACTGTAGACTGTGAGGCTCCTCTGTTCATGGGATTCTCCAGATGATAGTACTGGAGTGGGTTGCCATTCCCTTCTCCAGGGGATCTTCCTGACTCAGCGATTGAGCCCAGGTTGACTGAGTCTACCATCTGAACCATTAGAGAAGCCAGGGTATTTGTCTTCCTCTGTCTTATTGTTTTGCTTAGCACAATAATTTATTTAGATTTTTAAAAATTGTTTTTATTTATGAGATCAGCATGAAATACAACCCTGGTCACTGGGCTCTAGTGAGGTTGGAAAAAGAATGAACCAGGAATGAGCAGAGCAGGAGACTAGAGGCTGTTCCAGGTAATTACCTGTGCCTGAAGGTGAACTGAAGTGCAGTGACTCATTGTCCAGGGACCTGCTCAGTCCTTTCAAGACAGTTTCCAGGCCAATGAGCAGGTTAGAGGCCACAAGGTGCTGCTCTGAGCTGGGCAGGGTTTCCAGGTCCTGGGGGGCCTCCAGCATTTCATCCACCCCCTGTATGAGGTTCTGCAGAGATAAGGACACAGAGCCAGTAGATCACATACCTGAGAGGTTGTATGAAGACATTACCCACTCACTCACAGAGAACATAGCTTGGAAACTGAGTGATAAAGGCAGGGCCAGGTGGGGTCCTTTGGGTGGTCTTTGCCCCTGGAATCCAGCCATTCAGAGGTCAAACTTGTACATGAATGCCAAGGATGACATAAACCCAATATTCAGGAGCTGCAAGATTAAAAGTTTTTAGAAGGTGCACGTGGGAGTGTAAGAGTGACTACACATGTCCACACTTCCCATCCACCCTGGGAGAGGCAGAGCCTCAGAGCAGTGCACCATTATGTTGAGGTATCTCTGCCCAGACCAGATTTTACCACAGAACCTGCGGGAAGCCTCCACCTGCCTCCCTGGGTCCTACCCTTACCTGGATAGTGTCCTGGACAGGGACTGACTCCACGTTTTCACTAAGATTCTGGACTCTGTTGAAGAAGCAGGAGAGCGTCTGGGAGGAGTAATATGAGGAGGTTAGAGCTTGGGGGAAATAGGTGGACTATATGGAGGGCTTTCACATGTTGTCTGCTGGCCACTCACCGAGCTATTGATACTTGAGGGTGCGGTCCAGGTGTGGATGGAGATCTCTGCAGGGAACAGTATAATGGATCATTAGGGGTGAGAGAATGTGTGTGTGTGTGTGTGTGTGTGTGTGTTGTGAGTGGGATTTGGGGTCAGGTCAGGCCAGGTACCATCCCAGACATTAATCCCTGAATATTGGTTACTCAGAGTAACAGTTTAAGAAGAACCATGAACATAAGAACAAGTCAAAAAGAAGGAACAGAATGCTTGATACTGTATATTCCAATTAGGGAACCAAAGACTTTATGGCTTCAGAGGACTCATGACATCATGATGAGTCAGGGCAGCCACCTAGTCCCTCCAGATGAGGGTCTTCATCTCTGGATCTAAAGGTTTCCCTTCTGAGGCCCCAGACCCAGGTGGAGGGTCTGCAGTAAGACAGAATAAGATGTAGGAGGGATGAACAACTGAGATACTCAAGTTCAACCTCTAACTGGGCATTGAGACATCTTCCTGTCTCCTTAGATGGTGGCAGTCACTGGAGACCTGACTTAAAGGTTGGTGAGATGAGATGGAATTGAGTGCAGGATAGTGGAAATGGGGTGTGAGGAAGGGAGGATATGAGGGTTTGGAATTCCTCAACGTGACAAGCGTGCTCCTAGGAAGGAGCTGGGACTAGCAGCCAGATATCTTCTCCATGTTCAGCTCTTTACAAATCTTCATGAAACACACATACAAATGCATAAAGGAAACTCTAGAAATACCTCTAGAGTGTCAGAAAGACTGAACATCAGTCAAAGACTTTTTTGATGATAAAATCTACTTTTACAAAAAATGTTAAGTAATGCGTGGATACTTGGAAAACAAGATAATTTAAAGCATGAAAAAAAAAAAAAAGAAGAAAGAAAGAAAATCACTCCTATAGCCATTACACAGATCTCTTGAAATTTCTTCGAATTTTTTTCCTCATCATACTGCACATATTACGAATATTTTTCTTCAGTAGCAATAAATGTCCATCAAAAACTTTTATCAGTAGACAAGGGCTATTTCTTGTAAAAACCATATAATTCTCCCCTACTTTTTAGTATTGTGGTAAAATTCATAAAACATAAAATTTACCATCTTAAAAATGTTTTAAGCAATGTAATTTCCCTTATGATCTTATATTGTTGAAAATAAACTCTAAGCTTTAGATCTGCATCTTGGTTCTATGATCCTACTAAATATGTGACTTTGGATATATAACTTAAGCTCTTTGGGCCCAAATATGGTTATTGAAAAATAGATTCTGCCCTGAAAAAGTAAAACTCCTAGAATAAAATATGATGGTTGGGCAAACTGGGAGAAGGTGGGGAAAAAAAAATCTAAGTGTGCTAGCTTCCTGGGTCTGCTGTGAGGATTGATGTGGGAAATCACAATGGTCAGTGAGGAGTTCCTGGTGAGTTTGAGATAGTGAGAGAGCCTGAGCTTCCTCCTGGGAGTTTCTTTCCTTCTGTTGGTTCATTTATTTCCCCCATTTCTTTTCTCCACAAAAATAACAATAGTTTAACAGTATGAATAACAGTAATAACTCTCATGTGTTGACAATTTTCTCTGCACTAAGGTCCGTCTAGTCAAGACTATGGTTTTTCTAGTAGTCATGTATGGATGTGAGAGTTGTACTATAAAGAAAGTTTAGTGCAGAAGAATGATGATTTTGAACTGTGGTGTTAGAGAAGACTCTTGAGAGTCCCTTGGACTGCAAGGAGATCCAACCAGTCCATCCTAAAGGAGCTCAGTCCTGGGTGTTCATTGCAAGGACTGATGTTGAAGCTGAAACTCCAATAATTTGGCGACTTGATGTGAAGAACTGACTCATTCGAAAAGACCCTGATTCTGGGAAAGATTGAGGGCAGGAGGAGAAGGGGATGACAGAGGATGAGACAGTTGGATGGCATCACTGACTCAATGGATATCGGTTTGGGTGGACTCAAGGAGTTGGTGATGGACAGGGAGGCCTGGTGTGCTGCGGTTCATGGGGTCACACAGAGTCAGACAGGACTGAGCGACTGAACTGAACTGAAACTTTAGCTTTTCTTCACTAAGGTAAATATTAAATCTAAGTTCATTCATATGGGGTAGGTACGATGACTACCTCTGGTTTACAGACGAGCAAATAATGCACAGAGAGGTAAAACAACTTCCTAAATGTCAAAGAGCCTGTGTCCGAGCTACACTTTGTACCAGGTAGCCCAGCTCTGCTGTGTCAGCTCTCAGCCCTCTCCCAACTGATCATGAAAACAAGATTACCCACTCCCCTCATACTTTCCTGTGCTGTCACTTTTATGTTACTCTTGTTAAAACACTTCTGTGCTGCTCCCATGGCTGAGGGCTCTGGAAGTCCCATTGTGTCCTCCCACAATCTCTATATACACCCCCCAGCATATGCCACCCACAAGTTAATGCCACCCCCAAGCCTCTGTACCATCACAAGTCTCTGAGTGGCTGGTGATGATTTCCCCAGTTGAAGACGTGAATCCTGGAATGCAGCGACAGGATTTGGCATCAACACATTTGGAGTTTGGAGGGCACCACTGAGCACAACGTGTAGAGTCTGTGTGGATGAAGATCATGGTCAGAAGGCCCAAGAAACTGAGGAAGTCAGCTGCATGCTAGAGACCCAACAGTAGAAGAGGGGAGGAAAGTGTTGAATGGCTGCCACTAGAAGTGAAAAGCCTCAGAAAACTCTGGACATAATGGGGAAGAGTAATAGCTGTTAGTATCCTTAGAGGATACTTTTGCAGAATAAACCTCCTTTCCCCATTTTATTGGTGAGAGGACTCAGACCACGGCATACACCAGTGCCAGCTTGTGTCACCAATGGAGCTAGGTGCAGAGACTCACTTTTAAGTTTCTGGACTGCATTCTTCATTGTCTTCAGCAGTCGTAGATTGAGTTCTGCAGCAGAAAGACAGAGATGACAAAGAGGGGAGAGTTGAGCTCTAATTGCAACCACTATCCCCACAGTCTTTGCCTTCTTATTGGATGTCTCTGGCTCACTCTCAGCAATATTCCTGAGGCTCTTCTACTTTACTTGGAATCAAGGAATCACCACTTTCCCTCTATTTCTTGGGCCTCTCGAGGGATCAGTCACTGATAGACACAGCCCCAGTGGAACCTCATGTTCTACACGTTTGTAGAAAGAATAGTGCTCTCCCATCCATGCTAGCTCGGACTCTAGCTCCATGAAGCTGGTCCAAGACCCATCCCTGAGTCAGGACCCACAATAAGCTTTCAGGAAGGGGTGAGGGGTATAAAGATGATGCCAGACAGGCCAGAGGCTCCTGGACATTGGGGACCAGACTGGGGGTACAACGGGGGTCTACTTCCAGCCATGCAGGCTTGGTGCTGTGAGGATCCATTTCCTATACCCCTGGAAGGCATTTTCCAAACTGAAATGAAATGATAAGACTCATCATCTGAGTGAGCCAGCTTTGTGTGAGGGCTGGGTGGCTGAAGAAGGAAGCAGGTGGTGATGGATGAGGAGTGGCTGGTGTTTTTGTCTCCTTGGCCCTGGGCATCCAACTAAGGATGCAAGCTTGTGGGGTCCTTCTGCACAAGGCTCAAGTGGTCTGAGTCAATGTGGGGCCTTTGTTGACCTCCTAAGTAGAGAGTCAGGCTAGGACAATGAAGCCCAGTGACACTCTCCGTTTCCATCTGTGCCAGATGGGAGCCACTTTGAGTATATGTGGTGTGGTTCATGTCACCCACCCATTCTGACATAACATCCTCCCAGGTTCCAGGCATTTGAGTTTCCCATAGGCTCATTAATCGAAATTATTGGTTAGGGGCATGGTGGATATTTGCATAGTGAAATAAACAAAGGCTGACTGGCCAAGGAACTGGGTAAGGTTATCCAGGGGCAGTGCTGGCTGGGGAAGATGGGGCCACCCTTGAATATCCCCCTTTCAACATTTCTAGACAGAGTTCTCAGGTCCATCATTCCAGGAGAGTCTGAAAGGACCCCTAGCTTGCCCAAACCTGTATGGGATCCAGGTGAGAAAGGTCTCATCTTGGCAATTAATGATGAAGAATACAGATAGTGCCCTGGGACTCCTTGCACTGGATGTCAACTCCTGAAATGTCTTGAATACCACTCCTCTCTTTATTTTAATAAAATAAGGTGCCAAGTGTCAAGAGGGCATCAAATATTGCAGAAATGACACTCTGTGTGGGGTTATGACCCTTGGGGTTTGGAGAGAGAGGGGATAGCAGTAGGTGCTGAGAATAGACTTGTGGCCTGGAGTAAGTGGCCAAACTTAATGAATGAGGAAATGAAAAAAATTGGTTCCTTCTTACCAAGTGTTTTATTAGTACACTCATTCTCAAATTCTTTTTGAGAAAGAGTTCTGTTTCCTTTGCATTGACGCCGTGTGTTGTTAAAGTTCTGGCAGTCTACATATATTCCACAGGACACTTTCCATGATGGTCCACACTTGTTGATGTCTGGAACACAACAGGACAAAAGGTCACCTCTCAAATGTATGAATTCCATTGTGAATTCACATGGCACTCACCTCCGTCCTGATCTTGACACAAGGACTGAATTGATTCAGCTCCTTATTAGCTCTTATAGGGTTAGGCTGAACTAGCACCAGTTGCTCCAGAAAGCTGGCTTACTGTTCTACTCATCCCTGCTCTCTGACTTGATCTGCATGCACCTTAATTCAAACACTCTGCTGTGTCATATGGGGACTGGAAGGAGGTCTGCATCCCCGCTGCAGGCCTTTTGGGGTGGACAGAAAAAATGACTTGGTTCCAGACCATCCTCTTGGTTGCTGTTTGCATCATCAGAGACACGCATGTGAGCTCCAGTCATTCCAAGTGTGAGTGATCGTGACACTGAAGGCTTCCCACGATGCTGAGGAAATGGAGACAGTCATGGCTGGAGGATTGTCCAGAGTGATATCCATCATTTACAGTGGAGGTTAGGGCTAGGTGATCAGGCTCCTACCCATTGATCCCCTCCACCTTCATTTTAGTCATAGCAGCCCTAGTACACCCCATAATTTTATCAGGCACTCCCCCAGCTCTCAATGTTAAGACTTCTCGAGATGCTCCAGGATGTCTCTAGGGGAGATTTGCTCTCTCCACTTCTGTAGAAATCCCATTTTATCAGAGCCTGTTATGCATGGGAAAGAGGAAGCAGCTCACAGTTGAATCACTGCAGGTGTTCTCTGGTGTTTTACCTCTCCCTGTTCCTAAACCTAGGAGGAAAGGTGCCCATGAGCCTGGTCCCCTTGGAATAGGTCAGGGAACCATAGAGCAAGTTCTGGACACCAATGCTAAGAACAACAGCAACTTAGTAAAAATGCAGGAATAGAATGTTTGGCCCTTGTACATGTATGAGCTTCTTCCAGTCAGGGGGCCAAAGATGTTTAGAGCCTGGAAGGACTCACAGGGTCATGATCAGTCAGGGTAGACAACTGGTCTTTCCCAGGTCAGAGTTTCTTATCCAGCCTCTTGACATTCTCTTCTAAGAACCCAGGTCCAGGTTATGGGTAGTATTCACATAAGGATATGAATGGAAGGGGGAGGAATGCATAGCTGAGGAATTCTTGTTTGGCCACCATCTGATCACTGAGACTTCCTCGTCTCAGATGATGGCAATAGCTGGAGACCCATATTCAAGGTTGAGGGATAGGGAGGTATGGAGTGGGGGCATATTGGAATGAGTACTGGAAGGGGAAGACATAAGGATGGGAGATTCCTCAACCTGACAAGTGTAGTCCAAGGAAGGAGCTGGAATCCAGTTACAACAACAGCCAGATTTCCTCTCCATGTTCAAGAGTCTGTGTATCTCTCTGAGACACACACATGCAAGTTCACAAAGGAATCTTTCAGATACTTCCAGGGTCAAGTAAGGGCTGTGCAGTAATCACAACATCTTTTCCTTTATTTGATAAAATTTACTTTCTCCCAAATTTTAAATAATAAATGGATACTTAGAAAACAGAGAAGTAAAAAAAAAAAAAGGGGGGGGGAACCATCCAGAAGTCTAGTATCCTAGAATATTGTAGGCTTTTTCTTTTTTACTCATTGATTCAAATATGCTAGGAATAATTTATTTTATTACCAATAACTCAGAGTATTTTGAGTAGATGAAGAATATTTCTTGATGAAAAATCATATAATTTTCTTTTACCTCATTAAAAAAATATGCAGTAAAATGCCCATAACAAAAGTTTTCATCTTAGCTTTATGTTTAATGATTTCCTTTTGTGGTTCTATTTTTTTGAAGAATAAAAACTCCTTGCCTTTAGACATGGTCGTGGTTTCTACTACCTTATCAGTTATATAACTTTGGACATCACTCAATCTCTTTGAGCCTGAATTTGCTAATTACAAAAATCAGGTTACCTTGAAATAATAAAATTCATAGAAAAAACCATACTGTATAAGCTCCTTGACATTGATCCTGGCAATAACTTTTTTTTTTTTTTTAATTTGACAGCAAAAGCAAAGCAATAAAAGCAAACTAGAGAGGTGGGACTCCATCAAACTACACAGCTCTGTACAGCAAAATGAGGTGAAATCACTCAGTTGTGTCCCACCCTATGGACTATACAACCCATGGAATTCTCCAGGCCAGAATACTGGAGTGGGTAGCTGTTCCCTTCTCCAGGGACCTTCCCAACCCAAGGATTGAACCCAGGTCTCCCACATTGCAGGCAGATTCTTTACCAGCTGAGTCACAAGGGAAGCCCAAGAATTTTGGAGTGGGTAGCCTATCCCTTCTGCAGAGGATCTTCCTGACCCAGGAATTGAACCAGGGTCTCTTGCATTGCAGGCAGATTCTTTACCAACTGAGCTATCAGGGAAGACTGTACAGCAAAAGGATCTATCCCCAAAATGAAAAGAAAATCTATAATATCAGATATTACTTTACAAATCATACATAAATAAGGGGTTAATATCCAAAATGTATAAAGAACTCATACGACTCAATAGCAAAAAAAGAACCAAACAAAATGATTGAGTAAAAAATGGGTAGATGACCTGAATAGACATTTTCCCAAAGAAGACTACCAAATGGCCAACAGGTACATGAAAATGTGTTCAACATCACCAATCATTAACAAAAAGGAAATCAAAACCAGGATCAGATATCACCTCACACTTATTAGAATAACTATTATCAAAAAGATAAGAAAGAACAAGTGTTAGTGATGAAGTGGAGGAAAGGACTTTTATCCATTTTTGTGTCAATTAAATTTGCAGCCCCTCTGGGACTGCCCACTTCCTTCATGCTTTCTTAAAGTGTCTTCTTTCTTATTCTCAACAAAGTGCTTCTGAGCTGCCTTCAAGCTGAATGCTATAGATGTACCACAGCCTCTCCCCAAATCTGTCTGAGCATTTCCACCACCCCAAGGCTCTGTACCATGGCAACTCTCCAAGGGGCTGGTGAAGCTGTCCTCAGATGCAGAACTGAACCCAGGAATGCAGCGGCAGGCATCGGTGTTGACACATGGAGGGTTTGGAGGGCACCACCAAGCACAGGCTGTGAGGGAAGAAGCAGTGGGGATGGAGACTCAGTCAGAAGGTCAAGGAGGAACAAAGCCTGCTTCAAGCTGGTGGTCTAGGAGTAGAGGAAGGGAAGGAATGGATGGGGTGACTTCCACTGGAAGTTTTTGTTGTTTAGACACTAAGTCATGTTTGACTATTTGTGACCCCATGGACTTTAGCCCACCAGGCTCCAAGGGATTATCCAGGCAAGAATGCTAAAGTGAGTTGCCATTTTCCTCCTCCAGGGGATCTTCATGATTCAGGAATTAAACCTGTGTCTCCTGCATTGGCAGACACATTCTTTACCACTGAGTCACCTGGAAAGCCCTCTCTTGGAATAGGAAGAGACAAAAACTTCTGAGCATGTTGGGGTGGGGAGGAATAGCTTCTCTTACATTCATTAAACTGTGTCCGAACCTTACACTCAGGGTAAGCCTACTTTCTCCTTCCTTTGTTGGTAAGAGGACACAGACCCCAGCATATGCTCCACAGCTTATGTCACTAATGGGGCTGGCTGAGCACACTTACGTTTCTTGTTCAAGGATGTGGATTCCGTTGGCAAAAACAGCAGAATCAAGAATCCTGGGGCAGAGAAACAGAAAGATGACCGAGTAGAGTCACACTCAATTTCACCCCCTGTCCCCATAGCCTTTGCCTCCTGGGGATGTGCTTCTGGGCCCTGTATCCTTCAGCTTTCCAGTGGCATCTCATATTCTCTGCTACTGTATTCAGAATTGAGAACTCAGCTTTTCACCTCCAAGTCTTGGATTTCCCTGAGGAGTCAGTCATCGATGGACACAGTCCTCATGGAGAATCAGGTGCTATAGGTAAAGGATAGGGAATACATAGACCAACAGCTGATGTCAGCAACACATCTTTGAAATTCCAACCTCTTCCAGTGGAAGTGTTAAATTGTGGAGGAGAAAGTTCTTTAGATTGGTGTACCTAGGTTCTTTGTTCTCTGACAATGGCAGAAATCTGCTCTGAAGATTTCTCGTTCAGGATCTCTCTTCACATTTAACATACCTGACACAGATGAGTTTGGGTAGTAGAAGTGAAACAGCCCCGAGTTGGCACCCTAGCTCACAATTACATCAGCAGGGCATGGAGCCCTGGAATCAGGAGACAGGGAGTTTAGAGCATGTGAGAAATCAGAACTAAGCCAACTTCTAAGGTAGGAGAACTAAGGTAGACTCACTATCACCTTGTTAAATGGCCTTTCCACATATGGCACCAACTTCTATGAAACTGAAAGAGTTAGTGGCTCAGTCATATCTGACTCTTTGTGACCCCAAGGACTGTAGCCCACCAGGTGACTCTTCTGTCCATGGAATTCTCCAGGCAAGAATACTGGAGTAGGTAGCCATTCCTTTCTCCAGGGGATCTTCCCTACCCAGGGATCAAATCTGGGTCTCCTGCATTTCAGCAGATTCTTTATCATCTGAGCCATGAGAGAAGTCCAATGACTTCTATGGTTCCTTCCAAGTGAACTCCTGGCCCTGCTATAGTGTATCAAGAGCACAGCCTTTTTTCTTGATCTGCCAATTTGGTCTGAGAAAATGAGTTACTGATCAAGTTTTCTGTTATGAAAAGAACCTTTATATGTGGAATCTAAACAGAAATAATACAAATTAACTTACTTGCAAAACAGAAAGAGTCTCATAGACATAGAGAATGAACTTATGGTTGCCAGGGGGGAAGAATGGAGGGAAGGGATAGTTAGGGAGTTGGGGATGGACCTGTACACAATGCTATATTTAAAATGTATAACTAACAAGGACCTACTGCACAGCACAGGGAACTCTGCTCAATGTTATGTGGCAATCTGGATGGGAGAGAGTTTGGGGGAGAATGGATACATGTGCATGCATGGCCGAGTCCCTTCACTGTTCACCTAAAGCTATCACAACGTTATTAACTGGACGTGTGTGTGTGTGTGTGTGTGTGTGTGTGTGTGTGTGTGTATGTTCATTGCTCAGTCCTGTCTTACTATTTGCAACCCCATGGAGTGAAGCCTGCCAGGCTCCTTTGTCCATGAAATTCTTCAGACAAAGATACAGGAGTGGGTTGCCATTCCCTTCTCCAGAGGATTTTCTTGACCCAGGGATTGAACCCACATCTCATTATGTCTCCTGCTTTGGTAGGAAGGTTCTTTACCATCTGTGCTACCTGGGAAGTCCCTAATTGGCTACCCTCCAATACAAAATGAAAGTTTTTAAAAAATGAATAAAAAAGAAAACTATGGGTGCAAAGATAAAATTTACTCTTATAGGCAATATGTGGACCACGTATTATAGTCTGTCATCTTATCCATGTGAGGCAGTGAATCCTATGAATATTTTTTTATGATCTGTGAGTCTGCACAGAATTTTCCCCAAATGTGCCCAGCATTAAGAAAAGTCATGTTTCACATATCAGAATATAAGAAATATGGCCATTCTCATAAAAACCAGGAAACAATTTATAAGCAATGAGGACAATATATAAGGACCACTTGACTTACTAGGTAACAGGTATTATTATAAACAGTGAAGAAAATACAGATTCATCAGAATTAAGCTGACCTTCCTGATACTGTTTTTTCACCAAATCACTATTGAAAGTGTTAGTTGCTCAGTTGTGTCTGATTCTTTGCCTCCGCATAGGCTGCAGCCCACTATGCTTCTCTGTCCATGGAATTTTCCAGGCAAGAATACTGGAGTGGTTTCCTTCAAATCATTCCATCCCACATAAAGCCTATAGACTAAGTAATGGTGTTTTTCTTATGCCATTAGAATTTTCAAATAGGTTGGTTTTCCACTCTTCTGGAAAAAAAAAAGTTTATCAGGCTTGTCTCAGCCATAGTACCCAGATATTTTGTCAAACACGAGTCTAGATGCTGCTGCAGAGTTTTGTTTTGCTTTTTAAAAATGAGATTAACATTTAAATCAGGGCTTCCCAGGTCACTTAGTGGTAAAGAATCCACCTGCCTAGCAGGAGATGCAGGCTCAATCCCTGGGCTGGGAAGATCCCCTGGAGAAGAAATTAGCAAGTTGCTCCAGTATTTTTGTCTGGGAAATCCCATGTACAGAGAAGCCTGGTGGATTACAGTCCATCAGGTCCCAAGGAATCTGAGACGACTTTGTGACTAAACATGCATGCATACACCCATTTAAATCAATAGACTTTGAGTAAAGCAGATTACTCTCCATTATATAGGTGATCCTTTTTCAAACAGTTGAAAACCTTAGAGTGAAAAGACTGACCTCACTGAGGAAGAGAGAATTCTTCTAGATTGCATTTGGACTTGAGAAGCAGCATTAGGTCTTCCCAGGGTTTCCAGCCTGCCTCCCTGTCCTGTAGATTCTGAACTTTCCAACCTCTGCATTCCTATGAACAAGATCCTTCAATAAATCCCTTTCTCCTTCCTTCTCTATAAACATTCCAGTGAATTCTGTTTCTCAGGGAAACCTGGATTAATACAGGTGGTAAAATGAGAAATCTTTAAGTCCCCAATTTGCCTAGAAGTAAGTTTCACCAGTTTTCTCCTTTGGAACTTACTATCAATGTGCTAATATCCTTAAAATTTCTACTTGTCTATCCCTTATAGAGATAGTAGGAAAGCAAGTTAAATATCAAGGATGATATTTAAGTCTGGATGATATCCAGTCTGTGAATAGAGTCCCCAAACAGCTTTATTTTTCTATACCCCGTGTTATAATTCTACACACCTGGAAGCAACCTTAGATAGCCGTTTTTCATGATGTAGAGATCAGCAAGCCCAGCCACGGAAGACATCTGATCTTGGTCTGTGTGTGTTGAAAAGACTTCTTGTTTTAAGTGTTACTTGCACTTTGAAGAAGCTGACTGAGGAAAATGCTGATCTGGATTCTTTCTTCCCTTTTAATCTGCCCTATGATTAACTCCTTAGAAACTGCAATTCTATTTTTGAACTATGTGCATGGTATTTATACTGAGTTAGTATTTGGGTTTCCCTTGCGGTTCAGCTGGTAAAGAATCTTCCTGCAATGTAGAAGACCCCGGTTCGATTCATGGGCCGGGAAGATCCACTAGAGAAGGGAAAGGCTACCTACTCCAGTATTCCGGCCTGGAGAATTCCATGAACTGGATAGTCCATGGGGTCACAGATAGTGGGACACGACTGAACCACTTTCACATAGTATTTGTACTGAAATACTCACTGAAGGTGGTTTTTGAATCTTTTTGGTATATTTCAGTTCAGTTCAGTCACTCAGTCATGTCCAATTCTCTGTGACCCCATGAACCACAGCACGCCAGGCCCCCTTGTCCATCACCAACTCCCGGAGCCCACCCAAACCCATGTCCAGTGAGTTGATGACGCCATCCAACTATCTCATCCTCTGTTGTCCCCTTCTCCTCTTGCCCTCAATCTTTCCCAGCATCAGGGACTTTTCCAATGAGTCAGCTCTTTGCACCAGGAGGCCAAAGTATTGGAGTTTCAGTTTCAACATCAGTCCTTCCAATGAACACCCAGGACTGAGCTCCTTTAGGATGGGCTGGTTGGATCTTCTTACAGTCCAAGGGACTCTCAAGAGTCTTCTCCAACAACACAGTTCAAAAGCATCAATTCTTTGGTGCTCAGCTTTCTTTATAGTCCAACTCTCACATCCATACATGACCACTGGAAAAACCATAGCCTTGACTAGATGGACTTTGTTGACAAAGGAATGTCTCTTCTTTAATATGCTCTCTAGGTTGGTCATAACTTTCCTTCCAAGGATTAAGTGTCTTTTAATTTCATGGCTGCAATCACCATCTGCAGTGATTTTGGAGCCCAGAAAAGTAAAGTCAACCACTCTTTCCACTGTTTCCCCATCTATCTGCCATGAGTGATGGAACCGGATGCCATGATCTTAGTTTTCTGAATGTTGAGCTTTAAGCTAACTTTTTCACTCTCCGAAGGTGTGATACTATGTATAAGAAAACCTCCCCAACATGAATAATCATACTGGACTTTTTACCCCTATGAGGTTCTTAGGTCAGAGTGAGCAGAATTATGTATTTATTAGTGGACATTTAAAAATCATGTTGTAATGGGCACACAATATGAGTTTCAAATGTGAAACAGGATTATTTGATATTTGTATATATTGCCAAATGATTACCAAAATAAGTCGTTAACATCCATCACCACACAGTTGCAAATTGTTTTTGCTTGTGATGGGAACTTTCAACTTTTTGGCCAATTCAATTATTAATTCAACAAAAAAATTCAACTGAATTAGGCAAGTTAACTCACAGGCAGGTGTTCTTTGATGTCCCTCACATTTATTTTCTTTGTCCTCAGGGTCCAAGAGCTCCAGTTATGAACAACAATGACCACCACCACCATCTCCCCATTTCTAAGGTACAGTCTGTTTGACCATAAACAGCTATGGTGCCCCATCCCCAGTCAGAGGTTGGTTTCAGAATGGATTGGTGACTCCATTCTTGCAATGAGGACCAAAAGCTGTGGGCTTCTAGTAAGATTCCTCCTTCCTAAGAAAAAAACCCTGGCATCCCTTTTCTTTCAGGGCATTGCAATTTCTGGATGCAATGCTGGAATGGCTCCATCCAGCAGCCTGAAAAGGGGCACCAGTCCAGTCAGAAAGGCAGAGCAGAAAAATGGACCTTGATGACATTGTTGATCAGCTGAATCACTCAACGCTAAAGTTTGTTTGACCTCAGAACTTCCCAGTATGTAGGATAATAAATTTCATGATTGCTTAATCTGGGGAGCATGGAGAGAAAGAGAGAGAGAGAGAGAGAGGGAGAGAGGGCCTCTCACTGTGATTACTGTCAATGGATAAGACTGATTTAGAAGAATCATTAAATTCTGAATGGAACATTAAAAAAAAGGTTTACTTTGTTAGAAACCTTGGAATACAATATTATTAGCTATTGTTGCTTTGTTGCACGTTATATCTACATGACTTATTTTATAACTGGATGCTTGTACCTTTTGATATCCTTCACCCACTTCCCCTCTCTGACCTCTCTTCTCTATATTTACAAACTTGTTTTTTGTCCTATCTTGCTTCTCTAAATCTTTTATAGTCTATGTTCGTCTGATAGATAAGATGTTTATACATACTTTGGATGTCATTGTGTTTCAAATAAGGCTTTTCATGCTAAGAACTTTGTCTTTAAAGTTTCTTTAGTCAGCAATAGTTCTTGGGGAGTTCTTTCATGTCATTGCATGTAAATCCACATTTTTCTTTTCTGCTGCTGTTGCATGTATCCAGATTTTGCAATATGAAGAAATTATATTTTTCCATTCTCTATTTTTATGCCCATACAATAATGCTGCAGTGAATATCTCAAAAGTACCATAAGGAGAACATTTGATATTTTCCTTAGAAGAGACATTATGTGGTTCTAATCTTGGGTTGTATAGAATATATATTTTACGTTGTGATAAATTCTATAACTCTTCTATTTAATAACACTCAAAGTGCCATTGGTGCTATAGGATAGGGTCAGCTTCCTATATGAAATTAACACTCTTGCTGCTATACTTTTTTCATTTTTAATATAAAAATTTTTGTTGTCAGTTGGTTTAAGTGACATATGTACTAGTCCATCGTTTATCTCACTTGCTGCTAAGTCGCTTCAGTGGTGTCTGACTCTGTGTGGCCCCATAGACGGCAGCCTATCAGGCTCCTCCGTCCCTGGGATTCTCCAGGCAAGAACACTGGAGTGGGTTGCCATTTCCTTCTCCAGTGCATGAAAGTGAAAAGTGAACATGAAGTCGCTCAGTTGTGTCTGACTCTTCAAGATCCCATGGACTGCAGGCTACCAGGCTCCTCCGTCCATGGGATTTTCCAGGCAAGAGTACTGGAGAGGGTTGTCATTGCCTTCTCCATTTTCTCACTTAGAGTGAAATTAATAGAAGAGTAAGATATAGGAACTTAAAAATTAAGGAAGTTAATTCATTTTATATTAGGTCATTAGAATGGAAAGGGGAGTCCAAGATGGTGGCTAGGAAAAGCCATGCAGAGGGCAAACAAAGAAAAAGCCTTTGAAAGAGGAAGCTGAAGACTGGCGTGAGAGCCTCTGCTAAGAAAACATGCCCAGAACACGTTCCATTCCCTTATTGGTCTTGAGCATATGCCTTTTTGCATTCCCTTTCTTGATTGGTGGTGGGCACAAGTTTTATTTTGCATAAGGCTGAACCAATCAGACTCCAGGAGGATGAGACAGAAAGTATAAAAAGGGAAGACAAGAGAGATCAAATCTCTCCTGTGGGATCAGCCTGCTCTCCCATATTGAGGGTGTACTGTCTAATGCCTGCTGCCTTCTTGCACTCTAACTAGCCTATTTGAGGTGTAACTAGTCTGTTGATGAGACAATAACCTTGAGGGTGCGCTATCTGCTGTCTCCTTAATAAATCCTGGCTACTTGAGCTATAACTAGGCTATTGTTCCAAATCCTTGCTATGAGGAGACAAGGGCTGAGAAATCCTGCCTGCTTGAACTGTGATTATTTTGTCATTTCAAATCTTTGTTATGATGAGACAAGAACTAAGGGAGAGGAAGAAACTGATCTGACATATCTGTGGATACAAAAATGTCAAAACTTCAAGCTTATGAGTCACTGTCTCTGAAGGAGGCATAGGTTTTTCTTTTTCCT